TAAATAGCGCAACGATGAGTGAGGACAATCCAAATAGATCTAATTTCAGAATCTCCTTTTGGGTAACAACCAAGAACGCCCCCTTAGATATTTAGTATTTCGTTTATCTGCCAGGAGTTTTTAGTGGCTCACGAGCTTTATACCCAAAATATCCCTGCCCAACAAAAAAACTGTACAATGCAAGACGCAAGATCAACGATTTACGACTCAAGGTTGTCCGAGTTACGAATGGCCTCTGTAATATCGAGGTTATCACCATTCACCTCCTACAATTAACATTTCAAGCCCTGGGATCTATCCATAAGCAACTAAAGACCAATAAAATCCACTAATCGGTGTAAATCATCGTAATTTGTGAACGTGCTGAATCCCTTCTTATAAGAAGGGATTCAGCACGTTCACAAACAATAAATCATTTTGATATTCATTTACAGCTGTATTTTAGCCGTTTAAGTACCTGATAGCGGTCTTTCTGCGAACTCTTTTTGTGGGAAGCTCCCTTCCTGATACAGACAGGTTTGTTTTGTTTTCTAGGCAGATTAAGGCGGTTTATTTGGATTATTTAGATGTTATATTCATAATTGACTACAAATCGCGTGCGTTCACCTCAGTTACAGTTTCAATATGACCCATTTGCACCAATTTAGTTTAAAATTTGAAAATTGGGAACTTTGCTATGAGCAATATTTGTAACAGATGACGTTAACGTCCGTACACCCATGATTACAAACGTTTTTAAAGAGTTCTCTCCACCGACTTGGAATAGATTTGTGTGAACGAGGTAGATCGTGGTAAACTTAGGTTTGATGTCGGTCATAGAGATAAAACGTGGTAGCAGGGACCGCGCAGGGGGTGGGGCTGGGGGAACTTTAACCCCTCACTTTTTTGGCTGATTAAATCACAATTTTTTTTTTACTTAGAAGTTAGTCTGTTCATTTAAATTTGGTCAAACGTGAAGGCCAGTTGTTAGTCGTTGTTTTATAAGAAATTAACTTCACTTTTGGCAGTTTTCGATCCATTTCTAGCCATTTCAGAAGACTTTAATTTCAAATTTTCCCGGGGGAACATGACCCCGGACCCCTCTCGTTGGCTCACGCTAACGCGTTCGCATTAGCCCCCCACTTGAAAATCCGCTCCGAGGGCCCTGGGTAGGACATGTCAAACGTAGGGGTGGATGAGGGTTAACAGGGCACAACATGGCCAGCGTAGGGAAGATTGGGGTTACTGACGTGAGAAAACATCTTCCCTTGGCTAACCATGTTAGTTCTACAACTTATACTGTAACAAAGGTTGCCATATCGATGTCATTACAATAATAATTAGCAGGAGATAATGTAATAGAAAGCCGGCAAATACCAAAGAAGTTAATGTTGTCCAATCCGTTGAGTTGGAATGAAGCAAACGAGCTTGTTACCGTATTACGCATAAGTTAGGAATTTCGCAGCTTTATTTACACTGACAAGAGACACGCAACGGACAGGAAGGGGAAAAACAATAATTAATCAATTCCGCCTTTTGTGATTGCGTTATTAATTGAATTTCGGGTCCCTTGGATTGACCATCTAAACCCAAAAAACCTTTAACTCGTAAAAGTCATGGCAAATGATCACTTCAAGAGGTTTTAAATTACTTGACAATTAAAGAGTGATCTTATACTGAAAAGGGAGACGCAACGGACAGATAGAGGGTTAAGAAAAAAAGGATTAGGTCTATAGGAACTGTTGTTATTATGCATATTGTGTTTGCCGTTGTTATTTTAAATTTTAAATATTTCACAGGAATAGTTAATTTGATCTATGATTGGTCCAGGTGTGTCTTTTCCTTTTGTTATTCAAACTTTCTTTTTTAGGAATTAGCATATATATAATAATGCATTTTGTTTTCTCTCTCTGTTGTTGTAACCGTTTATTTGGACGTGATCGGAATAAAAGAAGCAGAAGTTTGTTTTAAACGTGCAAAAATCTTTAGGAACTGCATCATGATAAATTACAGCTTAAAACCAACCAGGAAACTATGCTCCTATATTTCTGATGACAAATCAAATAAAGAAATGCTTTTCGTTTTTGCTAGTTCTAGGAATAACTTGTTGACAATATCCCAAACGTTACTTTTCAATGTCATGCAATGACACTCTTGGTGCTGATTGTTAAATATATAACTTGACTGTTTGCTAGCTACCAACAGAGCCAGTTGAGAGAAGGCCGTCAAACCCATAACGCCCTTATTTCTTGAGCAAAACTTTTCACGGTCTACGATATCAAAAACCCTTTTTGCCTTGATTAATAACAATCCATTGGTGATATTGTTATCGATCAATAGTGAAACCCTAATCAGTTGTCATGCAGTAGAATATATGAGGGTGAAAGTGAAAGAACGTGCGTAACTCAGGGTATGCGTGGAGGAACTTACTAAAACGAGGCCCACTTGGGGCAGGTGGGCCTAAACGTGGGAGAACATGGTTAACTTTACGTATATGTCAATCAACAAGGTAACACGAAGTTGACAGGAGGTAGACGTGGCCAAGTCAGGTTAGATGTGGGTTTATAAAGTAAAAAATGCTTTAATAGGGTAGACGAGGGAAAACATAGTGGAACGTGGTGAATTTGGGGTAGATCAATCAATCAAGCAATCATATCCTTTATTTAAACACGATGAGGTTTAAAGCTGGGGGCTTGTGGGATCGTGTGAATATAATTACAATAACAATAAGAATAGTGTCCTTAAAATCACTCTACAAAATATACAGTACGAATAATAAAAACGATTTACATTATTTATCTCTAAGTAAATTGACTACAGCGTTTAAAACATAAAAATATTTAAAAGCATTTAAAATCTTGGTAGTGCCTGGGTAGTGACTGGACTGACTGTGCGCTAAAGCGAGATCCTTAAAATAAGAGTGAAATGTTTCGAGACAGCGTTCCAGAGTATAGCGCCTCTATAGCTAATGGAGTTTTTAAGAAACTGCGAAGATGGGAGTGAAAAGGATGGAACGGGTTTAACTTAGGGCAGATGTGGGTTGACGTGGTAAAAGATGGTTAACTTAGGGTAAATGGGGGTTAACGTGGTAGAACATGGTTCACTAAGGATAGATGGGGGTTAACGGGATAGAACATAGCTAACTTAGGATAGATGGAGGTTAACGTGGTAGAATGTGGCTAACTTAGGATAGATGAGGGTTAACGTAGTAAAACATGGTTAACTTAGGAGAGATGGGGGTTAATGTGGTAGAACTTGGCTAACTTGGGATAGATGACGTAATGTGGGTTAGCGCGGTAGAACACGGTAGAACACGGTTAACTAGGACATACCATTGGTCATACATGATGCTTACAACATGAATGTTGTCAGCCATCTTGTTGTCTTCATGACATTCAGCCATGAAATATCCTTTACAATCCTCATTAGGAAGTTTGGTTACTAAGTTCAGCCTGGTTTACAAGCTCCTCGAGAAAGTTAGAGGTTAAAAAGGTAAAAAAGATCTCAAAGAAAGCATTTTGCAGCGCGCGTTGCTGCTCCGAAATCCTGGTAATACACGATGGCAACGGAAACGGCCTCTGAATGCAAGATCATAGTAAAAAAGCCTGTGTTACTGAGGGTTGGAGATTTGGCTAGCGAGTTCAGGTCTGGAGTGTCAGTTGTTGATATTATTCTTCCAGGAACGAATGCAGTACAGGTAATGCAGAATGTAATTATTTTAATCTACACACAATAATCTGTTTGGTTCACCTCCAATAAATGAACTTCATATATTCATTGTACCAAATTCTACTTCAGTTACTCAGAATGTAGGAGACTGCAGCACAGGACAGAACTACAGGCTTTAGAGCTAGAGCTTTAGAGTTTACATAATATCGATAGGTGTAGTACAATGAGATCAACTTCTGCATACAATAATTTTTAAGACATTCTTGTGACGAATGTTCGTGCATATTATCAAATGCCATCATTAGACTTAATATGCGTGGTATGTTTCACTCTGAAGTAGAATAATTATGACAGTATGTATAAAGGTTGATCAACTGTTGTGTAAAAATTGTGAGTGGTTTCTGCTTGTTATAAAATGGTTGTCTGTTTGCTGTACCGGCCAGTTCAGTTCTGTTATTTTCTTCATCTACATAATTTGCCTCTTGTTAATAAGTTGTTTCGAGCATTGATCCTTCAGATGTAATGTAGACCAGTCATACTGCTTGTAGTAGGGTTAGGGTTTACACTAAAGTTTTACTTGTAGCAATTTTTTGATTTTGTCAAAAACGTAAAGGGCTCTGTCTGTTATTCCACATTATTCTTGTTTAGTTCTCCTACAATTCAGGGAACAGATTTGATAACATTAAATGCATTTACATTTCAACTGGATAGACTGGCTTTTATTTTGAGAGAACTAAACAAGAACAACTTCCAAGGCTAGATTGAGAAATTCAGGCCCTCGCAGTCTTGGGCTGTGCAAATCAATCTGTTCTAGTTAACGTTGCTAAATGGCGAATCATCAGTCATTATACAGTTCAGATCATTAATCAATAATTTTATTTTCTCTCTTTTTTAATGTGCTTTATCAGGTTGGAAAGCTAACATTTAAGAACTCTTACACAGCTTCTGTAACAGTTAACCTGAAAGTTCTTGGTGAGTTCCTTCATAATACTGACATCAGTCTATTAATATCTGTAATTTCAGCGATGAAAGTGTGATATGTAAAGATGAAATAAACAATTTTTAATTTAAGAGAAAAATCGAGTTTCCAGATGGGATTTGAACCCACGACCCTCCGTGATCTAGTCGGATGCTCTAACCACTGAGCTACAGGAGACTCTATGGTGAGCAAGGTCAATTAGTGGGTATTGACTGGAACCGCATCACGCGGCTACACAGCCAAACATCAGCTAGCGTATAGAAGCTCACTAACAGCATCACGCTGTCACATTAAAGCATCACATGCATTAAAGCATCACATGCAGCCAACCAGCCCCCAAGGTGAGCATGTAAAGATGAAATAAACAATTTTT